AATTTTTCAGTCTTTGTTATATTGCAGCCATTTGCTAAAATCATTTAAGTAATTTTTTTTTCCTCATTAATGTACACACAGCACCCCATATTGACATAAAAACACAGAATTGTTGACATTTTTGCAGATTTATTAAAAAAGTAAAACTGAAATATCACATGGTCCTACGTATTCAGACCCTTTGCTCAGTATTTAGTATAAGCACCCTTTTGATCTAATACAGCCATGAGTCTTTTTGGGAAAGATGCAACAAGTTTTTCACACCTGGATTTGGGGATCCTCTGCCATTCCTCCTTGCAGATCCTCTCCAGTTCTGTCAGGTTGGATGGTAAACGTTGGTGGACAGCCATTTTTAGGTCTCTCCAGAGATGCTCAATTGGGTTTAAGTCAGGGCTCTGGCTGGGCCATTCAAGAACAGTCACAGAGTTGTTGTGAAGCCACTCCTTCGTTATTTTAGCTGTGTGCTTAGGGTCATTGTCTTGTTGGAAGGTAAACCTTCGGCCCAGTCTGAGGTCCTGAGCACTCTGGAGAAGGTTTTTGTCCAGGATATCCCTGTACTTGGCCGCATTCATCTTTCCCTCGATTGGAAGGGTTCTGGTCGTCCCAAATGTCTTCCATTTAAGGATTATGGAGGCCACTGTGCTCTTAGGAACCTTAAGTGCAGCAGAATTTTTTTTGTAACCTTGGCCAGATCTGTGCCTTGCCACAATTCTGTCTCTGAGCTCTTCAGGCAGTTCCTTTGACCTCATGATTCTCATTTGCTCTGACATGCACTGTGAGCTGTAAGGTCTTATATAGACAGGTGTGTGGCTTTCTTAATCAAGTCCAATCAGTATAATCAAACACAGCTGGACTCAAATGAAGGTGTAGAACCATCTCAAGGATGATCAGAAGAAATGGACAGCACCTGAGTTAAATATATGAGTGTCACAGCAAAGGGTCTGAATACTTAGGACCATGTGATATTTCAGTTTTTCTTTTTTAATAAATCTGCAAAAATGTCAACAATTCTGTGTTTTTCTGTCAATATGGGGTGCTGTGTGTACATTAATGAGGAAAAAAAATTAACTTAAATGATTTTAGCAAATGGCTGCAATATAACAAAGAGTGAAAAATTGAAGGGGGTCTGAATACTTTCCGTACCCACTGTAAATGTATCATTAAATAATATGAAATAACAGGTTGGAGCTGAAAGCAATTTTTAATTTAAAATATAGTTATTTTGCTAGCTGTATATATTCTGTGACAGCAAATGAAAGACTGGTATGAATGAATGAATACCTGCATTATAAAACACACAAACACAAGTCCTCAGGAGCAGATAAAGCACAGCATGCAGGAAATGATTCTCAGTAGCTAGTTACTACATATTTGTGCTAAAGTGTTTGACTGAAACATGAAGTTAAAGCTAAGCATGTGAATGTTAACATTATCAGCGTAATGTAAAGGGTAGATTACACATATATCAATGAGAACAGAAATGGACTTTCACTGCATTTCATACTAGTGTGTGATTTTCACAGCTGAAGGACAGAACAAAGAGGATCTGACTGAGTGTCTCAGAGGAGAGTCAGGAAAGAAGGGAATTTCAATGCTGCTTCACTAATATAAGCCTTTTTTCCATGAAATCAATGCTAATTCTGCATATTTTTACTTTCACTTCCTCTTTATGAATGTCTACTGTGATAACAGTGAAGATGTATGATTGTTTGTGACAAGCTTAATATTCCTCAACTGTCTCAGAAAGTCATCTCATCATCTCACACTTTACATACAAAATACATCATTCAATTCAAGTCAAATTAAAAGGAGAGATTGCCATTTGCTTTCTATTTAAAGCAAACAAAAAGATTAATAGATAAATAGATGTATAATTAAGATTAAGCAGGAGTATTGTATTTGTTATATTAGATAAGGCAACATCATGTGCAGGTCAGACAGCATCAACCGGTCATTTAAGAGATTCATCAGAAAATATTTGAGAATTTTTCAAGAAATGAATTCAGGAGCACAAGCTGAGTCTGATGAAAGGTTTGGCAGTATTGACTGCTGTGTGCTGGGGTTGCACTGGCGGCTCTGATGCTTCTCTCTGCTACTGCAGCAGCAGTCAAAGCTTCACACTCGACCCGACACACCCCAGACCCATACATCAACCTGAGACCACCAGTCAAACTAGAAAACCCGTGACCATTACACTGCTTAGTCAAGCGTCACTCTTGCTATTGTTCATACTTGGGCTTCTACTAACACTCTCTAACGCTAAGTGTTATTATTATTATTATGTTAAGCAGCTAGACTTACAGTCTGCTTTTCAGCTGCTGAATAATAAAATTGCCAATGTGCAATAAACTTCTTTAGACTTGCATTAATGCAGGTGTTTGACCTGGACCTGTAAGCAATGCCCACAACACACCCGTCAGACGCTGGCGTGATGCTGTGATTCAGGGAGTTTCTCTCCTCAGACGTCAGCAGTGATTCACCAACACTCATCAGGAGGAACCAGAAGATGCTTTCTCAGATTTCTTCTGAACACAGCCTGTTAGAGATGTACAACTCTTTTATTGAACTGAAATTGAACAACATTGCATCCACTTCTGTTTGTGAAGAGATATGCTTGATTTACACTCCATGTTAATGTAAAGGGTTTACATTATAGGCAAAGATTTAAACACATTCATGAAGAAGAGATGCAAACTTCTGCATGAATATGGTTACAGGCAAAGAGAACAGAAATAAACACCAAAACTAAACTGAAATTCAATAAACATGGTGTTTGCACCTTCTGAAGAACCATCACCAATGACAGTGTCAAGCTGCAGATTCCTCTGGAGACTCATGGGAAAAGTGTGTGTGTGTGTGAGTGAGTGAGTGTGTGTGTGTGAGAGAGAGAGTGTGGGAGTGAGGGAGTGGG